GTCAGATCCTTCTCTCTGAGTAGGCATTTGACATATTAGTTCATTCAAAGTAGATTTGTCTGGGAATAATTAGTTTATGTCCTATTAAATGATACTATCTCATCCTTCTATGTTTTGTGTACACTGCTTGTGAACTTATCTTTAAAATCAACAATGTAAGCCAAGAAGGAAAAGTTGTTAATCATTTCTATAACAAATTAACCTATATTAATCAGAGAATATTCCAGATGAGATCTACCTGGTGCAGAAATTTAGAGAGACCGTGGGAAACAAGCTAAGGGTGTATGCATCTTCCATTGTACCTGATACACTCCTAACCCCAATACTTAATCTCCATGGTAGCTATAAAATACACATCATAAGGTTACTACAGTGCTATGGCAACTGGGGAATTTTTGCTCTTGTTCCTTGCAGCTCTTATGTGACAGTCACAGTCAAGGCAAGAGTTAGCATCTTATCTTTTTATATAAAGAAATGAAAAAATGCAAGGGGAGTGATATGTCTCTTAAGATATGATTTAAGGCTTACTGAAGTTAATGAAGTTTCTTTCCTGTTGATTTCGAAAGATTGTTACTGCATTTGTTTCTCTTGATGGTAACAGGTACCCTTTGGGCTATTTAAAGCAATGCAGCAAAAATTCACAAGCACTGAAATAAAGCCAGTGTTGAGTAAAATCAGTGATTCTGTTTCTCTTTAGACAGTGATGGCCCATGCCTGTTATCTTTCTGAAGAAGAACTGAAACTTTTTAACCTTCGTGGAACTGCAATTTCACATTGCCCCAATTCTAATTTTTCGTAAGTAAAAAAAAAAAAGGTGTACTGTTAGATAAAGCTGTTGTTCACATAGTACCCTCAGTCCAGCCTACAATCACAAGGTTAGGTATAGGGTAGCCCATTCCACCAGAAGTAGCCTGACATATTGGATCGAGGATGACTATTCATGTTCCACTTCTGCATGGTATGCTTTAGACTGACTAGAGATCTTTGAGTATAATAATGCATATAGGAATATTTCTTTCTCTAAACTTTAGTTTCTTATGACTTTTCCGTCAGTGACAGATTCTGGTCATCTCCCATCCCCCCCCAAAAGTATATGTATGTTTTGGGGAATTGTTGTAGTCTTATGACATGACTGGAACCATTTTAAGGAATCTGTTAAGCAGACATGAGGCCAGCCAGGATAGTGTGCTAAATGTTAGCAGTGCTTTTGCCTTTAACGTAATCAATATCTTGTTTGTGATAATTTACCAGAGCTTAAAAGATTCATGAAATGAACTCCCATCTCCTGGAGTATAGTTTACATCAGATTTGGATTTTCTTCCCAAATATATTAAGGCCTGTTTTTCAGCATATAACTATAAAACTGTGGGAATTTTCTATTAAGAAATTTTGCTTTACTTTCAGTGATTAAAAACCATAATTCAGGTTTATGAACACAAATGCTGCATCACTGTTGCCTAATCTGACACGTGTTCTGAGAGCTGTTACCATGAAACTGTTCTAAAGCCCTACTCTTACTGGATTGTAGGAATAAACTTTCCACTGTATGTATCACACAAGATATGTTTCTTGTTCCAATCCAGGTTGCACAGTGGTATCTTAAACGTACAAAAGGTTCTGAAACACAATGTGAAGCTTGGCCTTGGCACAGGTTTGTAGTTTGCTATAGAACTGGTCTATTTTAGAAACAATTGGAAGATACAAAAGTATACCATATGTTTGTATTTAAAAGTCAGCATGCTTCCAACCCATGGACCTGATTTTCTTTTTTTTACTACTTCAAACCTAGGACTGGTCAAAAAAGTTAGAAAAAAATACAAGAATGAATGAAGAAAGTGATGTTCCTGTCATGAGAATAAACAGGGCCTGAACTGCAAATTTTCATGTTTCTGTTATGCTGTGTTGCCTTTCTGTTTACATGACCTTGTATGTAAGAGCACCTTTATTAGGAATTATATGTTGAAAGACAGTGCTTAGCAATAAAACGTTGCATGTTTACTGCATCTGCCACTTTGTAACATTTAACTAAAGCTCATAATGCTTTCATCCAGAGAATTATTTCCAAAGCTTGTTCCTAAGATTCTGATCTCTTCTAGATGTTGCCGGTGGATATTCAGCTTCCATGCTTGATGCTATCAGGAAAACGATGATAGCATCTAATACCCTTCAAGTTAATAAAGTGAACGAAACAGGACTAACTCTTAAAGAAGCTTTTCGATTAGCAACCCTAGGAGGAAGCCAAGGTAAGAAGAAATTTCTCTAGAATGTACATAGAGAACTACAACTCTTTTTGATATTGTCTCCCTGTCTTTAAAAGGTGACTGAACTCTCAGATTTTCTGATGCCAGAATGAAGTCTAATATTATATGATGTGCTGAGTAGAGATTTCTTTCAGTCTCTCAACAATACCAGGCTGATTTCAGAAAAGCATTCATATTAATGTTGACAATTTAATAATAGAATCTTAATGATTTTTCTGTGCTGTGCATTTTCTTTGAAAAAATCCTCAGACTTTTAGTCACTGGTGGTTTTATATTTATCACACCAATTGGAAAGACTTTGTTTTCTCAACAACTAACAGTTAAAGAAAAGCTGCACAATTACTATAAAATTATATGTCAAATTTGTCATCTGCTTCTTAATTTGTGTTTTTTTTGAGCCCTTGGTGAGGCAGCTTGTCACTGTCTTTCCAGCAAAGCAAAACATAATGTAAATCACCCCTCAGAAGAAAGCACGAAGTTTAAACAGCATATGCATCATGGTTATTTAAGATGCAGTTGCATCTGCAGAATATAGTCATCATATCTGATACTCTGATTCACTGACATATTTTTTCATGATCAGTATTCACAAATACTCAATTTTTATACAATTAGCAAAGTTTTAGAGGACTCTGTATGATTTTGCAGAGAGCAAATCCACATACAGGTAAAAATTTCTTATTGTTTCAGTTAGTAGAAATGTGCCCACTACCTGCTAAAGAACTGATCCTAAGCCTTTTCAGTGTAACTTTTTTGTTGTTCTTGTCAAAAATCTGGTAATGGAAACTAAAAGCATTAATGGAAACTTGAAAGATGTAATGAAAATTTCATCAAGTAGCTTTTCTCAGGTGTGCAGTTGAATTTCTAGAGGGTGTAATGGGGGAATAGAAAAGACAGAAAGAAAATGGGCAGATGACAGAAAAGCAGAGATCCATTTCCCAGAATAAATACTGTTCTAATCAAAGGTGAGAGTAAGTAAATTCAGATGCAGAAAGGAAAATTTTTCAAAATCTCAAACTCGTGTGTGGCTTCTTCCCCTCCCTACTACTCTTGTGTTTGTTTTATCTGGGTTCTGGGGTTTACAGTAATATCATGTGTTTATTTTATATATTGATTTTGAACTATTTTATCCTTACTGAATCACTTTCAGAAAGGGGGTAGAATATAAATTACTGATCTACCCTGTCAATAGCCTGGACAAGTACGGTTTTGAGAAATTGAAATGTGACAGAGTTTTTGTTGGAATAATTTGCTTTGCTGAGACTCCTAAACACTTGTCACCCTCTTGTGTTTAATCTAAAAATTGCATTCTGCTCACAAGCCAAAAGAATATGAGATCATTTCAGTTGAAACACGCTAAGTAGTCAGAGCTAGTATTTCACCATTCTGAGGAGTTTATATAACTTTATGGTATTGTGAAGTTCCTGTCACACACACAGTTCATTAAAGACTGAAGTTCATTTGTCAGACAGGTGCAATCTAAAAACAAGTGAACAAATAATGTGCAGATATTATCCTCTTTGATAACCTAATTTAATTCCTGAGTGTTGGAGGTGTTGATTTCATGTTCAGATACTTTGTACAACATAAAAATATCCTAAATTATTTCAAAGGAGACGCAAAGGCCTCTCTTTAGCTGTTCCAAACACTTGGAAGCATCCATTTATTTATGATGAAACTGTAGATTTTCAGTGTTTGTGGACCTGAGATCTAGAGGTTGTGATGAAGCCTGAAATAATAAAGCTAAATAATAGAATTTTCTACCATGAGACAAGCCTTACAGCTGGATATGGGAGCTTCAGATTTGGAGATGATTTTTTATCTCATCATATTGTTCTTTTTCTTACTAATTACACTCTCAAATAACAATAAATACACCTTATTTATTATTATATTATATGTTACTATTATAATAGGTCTATGCAAGCTATCAAAGTTTTTTAAGCTGTTTTATAAACATAAACAATGTAGCCTGCCTTAGCAAAGTGAGCATTATTATATACCTTATTATTGCTCTGACTTCATTTCATTGGCCCTTTTGGAACTTTCAGGTTTTTGCAATGTAAGCAATTATTCTACTTTAAAAAGTTAGTAGTTTATGCATCAGATCTGCATGTGACAAAACTAAGAGAGAATATTCAAAGAACAAAAATTAAAAATGGGATTCAAATTGTTATTCAAATTTCTCTTACCCTTAGCAGATGCCCTTCATCATTTAAACAAAAGATACATATTTTTACTGAAAATTTGCTTAAGAACTGAGATGCCAGCATATTTACTGTTATAATTATTTTCAGGCTTTTCCTTGTAACAGTCTAAACTCTTGTAATTTTTCTTATGAACATCTCAAATAAGTTGCCAGATGCTTCCATATAGTGGAGAGAGGCTTGCGTTGAAGATCTGTTTGTGAGCTTATTTTGTTTCTCAGCTCTAGGACTAGAAGATGTGATTGGAAACTTTGAAGTTGGCAAAGAATTCGATGCACTGCTAATCAACACAAAAGCTTCAGAGAGTCCTTTTGATTTGTTCTCTGCTGATGCTTTTGAGGTAATCAGAACAGGGTTAATGATCAAACTACTGAAAATAATGTGATAAAGGTCTGTGATACAGCCAAAATTATTACAGCCTCTTCAGGGTTATCCCAGTGACAGGAAGCTGGTGTATTGCACTACTGCTATCTGTATTGTGACCCAAAAGGTACAGTGCTATTGTCAGAATCTTATTAGCCTCAGTGATAGTCCTATTCCCCCATGAGCAAAAATGCATGTAAGATTTTAATGTATGTTTTATTAGCTCAAGTTAGCAACTGGAGTCAGCTAATTGCAGTGACAAATACCAGCCAAGAAAGAACAATTTAGTTTCAGTTAACATTTTGAATTCAGACTGAAGAACCTGTTCCCAGTTAAAGTCCAGGTTGCCTTGACTTCACTGCTATTGTAAATTGAAACAAGAACTCAAGATAGCTAATTTGAATTAAAAGCATAGGTTTTGTGCAAATATATAAGCACTATTGGTATTATGCAGTGGGGACACCTTCTCATACAAAACCTTTCTATGATTAAAAAAGGTAAGGAAAGACAGTTATTTGAATTTACTGATGTGGCCAGACTGCCTATTGCTGCCTCTATTGTGAAGGCCATCATTCACTTAGAAATGTTGGCATAACTGGTCAGGTAATTGTTCCTTAACCTGTTTTAGTCACAGTAATCTGGGTTAGATTAAGCCCTTTGAATTGTAAATGTTTTTCCTAAACAAAATCATTCTGGAAAAAATATTTTCCAATATCAGTCAAAACCTTTTTAGCCAAGTTAGTAGTTCTTAGGACTATAGAAATGCTTACAGCTTTGTGACATTTTTCAATAGCAATAAATGAATTTGAGAGCTCTAAACATGAGGAGAGGGAAGTATTATGTTTTAGGCATATATTTGTTTAACTACTGTCAAAGTTGTGCAGTATTGTCATCCTGAGACATATAACCTCCTTACTGAAAATTAATTATTAGAAAACATGCAAATTAACTTTTGATTTTACAGTTATTAAGCATATTTAGAAAAACTATTTTTACCAACTATTTCATGTTTCAAATAATTGATTTGGGATAGCAGATACTGCTTTCTGAATTTGGTTTTCTCACTTTTTTTTTCAGGATACCCTCCAGAAGTTCCTGTATCTAGGTATGTTTTGATCCTCACCCTACACAAAATTCTCTTTTTGTTTCATATGTCAAAAATCTTTTAAGTTGGTATGGAGATTACTTTACATTTATTTATAAATACTGAGTAAGAATTAAGTAGTACAACTTTTGTCCTTTGGGACCTAGTAAAATACTCAATTTAACATGATCAGATGCAATAAGTTTAACTGTCAAATTTATTTTCAGAACAAAGTACTTTTGCAGACCAAAGCAACAAACACTTTTGTGTTTTTTACTCCCAAACAAAAAAGCCTTAAAAAAAAACTCTTTAAGAGATTAGGTATTCTTTATAGGACATTGTCTGGACCAAGAGCTGTGCTGCACATCATAGTGCTATGCAGAGAATTTGGAGTTAGCTCTGACCTCAGAGATTCTCTCCTTAGGCTTTTGGGTTTTTTGAGAAGTTAGCTCAGGCAAAGCAATGTCCTAACACACCTTTACTAGTGGCTGGTGCCTGAGTTAGTTCAGATCTGTGCAGCAATGCATTTTCTGTACAGACATAATTTCAGGTTTTGAATCTTCTAAATATATAGAAAATTCATGACATCATTGCAAAAGCTGAATGCAGATCCATGTTTATTTCTTCAAAAAAGCATGGGTACTTTAATGTCCATTGATCTTTATGGTAGCCCTGACTGTTCCTCTCCAAATAAAGTTTCTCAGTCATAGGAAACAGTCACTGAAAATGATTTATTCCAAAACTGATATTGAGGATTGCATCATTTTCAGTAACTAGATTGGTGCATATATTTATGTGCAAATCTCTCTTTTGACTATGTTATTTCAGGTGATGATCGGAATATTTCTGAGGTATATGTGGCTGGAAAGCAAGTGGTTCCTTTTTCAAGTTCAGTATAAATCCATTTCCCTTCTGCAAAGCATTCTGCTGATTATTCTGCATCTGATTTGGAAAAGATGATTGGTTAAACACAGTGCCTGATCATCAGGAATGACACCTCATTTTTTGCTTAATGTTTCAAAACTTGCAAATGTTAGAAAATTTGTTAGGCCTTTAAAGAGTTACTTTACCAAAACTGTCACAGTTATGAGAGGAAAAAGGCATTTAAATTTCTCTATGAAAATAGCATGTATGAACTGATAAGGGATTTGATAAATATCTTTGTTAAATAGGACAACTGCTGTTCCTTTTAATAATAGTGTAGGAAGTATTAAGATGAGCAATGAAACTCTCATTGTCTCTTAAGCATTTTCATTAAAAAAAAATCAAACAACCCAGTACTAGTAAATCTATTTTGAAAATAATGAATGTTGTGGAAGAGTGCAATTTCCTTAATATTATCACTGAGTATGTGATAATATAACTTAGTGACATTTTGGGGCATTCAAAACACTTTTCAATTTTCTTTAGGTGCTTAATTTTTAAAATAATAATTTCATTTAAAACATTATTATTTAATAGAAATAAAATAAGAAGTGTGTATTTATAAATGAATAAGAGTCCTTATCCTCAAAGAGTTAAGATTTGTCATTAGTACTCAGATGGAAGAGAACTGGTGGATGAGCCACATAAAAAAATGCGTGATTGGTCAAATAGGCTCAAGTTGGGAGAGCCGAAGGGCTATATTGTTCTGTGATTCTATGAATTGAAACTGTATCTCCTCAGTTTTGTTCTTAAGTCTAGAAGCAGTCATCCTGATCTTGCACCATTTTTGTACCAGTTCAACTGAATGGAGTGGAGTGACAGCTGAACAAAACTTGTGTTAAATCAGAAGCAGGCACTAGAACACCTGAGCGAGCTACTCTGTGGTAAATAAATGAATAGGGTTTTTTAGGTCAGAGAGAGTGCTTCATCTAGTTTATCCTCCTGAAGAACGTTCCCAAGTTCTTTTGCTCCTAACGTTTGAGACTATGGATGATATGATGTCCCTTCCCCTTTCTGTAAGAGAAATGAGTAGGTTTAAAAAAAAAAAATTCACTAGAAATGGATTGTCCCTGGCTGTTACCACTTTTGACTCGAGGTGGAATTTCTTACTAGAGGAAGCAGCAGCTCAGCTTTAAAGTGCCCTTTTGTGTCTTTCAACACTGAAGGAACCATAATTCCAGCCCTGTACAATTCCAGGTAAAAAAATTTGCCATTTTTATTTTGGAAGTCTGTGTGACTTCCTTTCTTAAAAAAGCATACTTCCCTACTTTTTATCTGAGCCTTTTTTTTTCTTGCGGGATTAGTTGGGAGGTTGCTTTCTGTTGCTCTGTTATTAATGTTTTTGCAACACAAAGGGTATAAGCTTGAATTTCATTGTCAATAGAGACAATATTGTACAGAGTTAATATAATCATGTATTGAATATGATTTTAAGGCCTCCTTCAAACTCCTTTGATTTCATTGAGCTTTGTTTCACACTTTTACCTCACTGCCTGATGGTGTAAAGGCACAGGACTTCCTCGTGTTCATAAAACAGGGGAGGTAACTGCATGAAAGTTTCCCTTCATGTTTAGTTCCCAGGGAATGGTTGGCCCAATATCACTAAAAACTTGATCTGACTTTAAAAGCATATTCAGAGCCTATTTGCGATTAAGGTTATGCCAGCATGGGACAGTATAGAACCATGTAGAAGTATTCAAGCTAGCTTATGTACTTAAAGCAGTATAGTCTGTCTAGTGCGGTGTTTTGCCTAAGCTGAGTAGCCCTGCTGAAGAGCATGGTATATTGGCTTGCAGACACCACTCTAATGCAGCAGCACTGCTTACTCATTTAGAGCTAGCTCAGGTATCTTTGTATGTCACTGCACTATGCTGTATGTGTGCTCAAGTATAGTCTTAGTAGCCATTATATTTAATCATTCCTAAGGTCTTAGGAGTTAAGGTTTAAGGATTAAGATTTTCACATTCAATCAGAACATTTTTCTAACAGTTTTGGTTTTCATATGTCCCAGTCTCCTCCATAGTAACAAAATTTCTTGGCAAATACAATCTTCAGTTCTTTAACTGGATTTAGTGATTCAGGGAGCATTTTTCCTCACAATTTTTGACATGGATTTAATTGACCAAATTTCATATTCCAAAACCAAAGATCTGTGAGACACATTTTAATCCTCCCAGTTACTGTTTGAAACTATTTTTAGGAAGTTGCATGGTTTGCAGCTTTGGCTTTCCTGGAGGAATGTATTCTGGGATGGAGAAAGATTGCACAGCCTTGTGTACTATATATGTTTGTGCCACACTTCTTCACTTCCAGAGTTATGAATTAAATCAACATTTTTATTTTAGTGGTAGTCCAAATTGTGCCTGATTTTTATTGCTTTCCTACTCTTTTGTAGTTGAGAATGGGATTCAGCTCTTCTTAAAAGATTTGGGGGGAGGGAAGGGTTGCTTTTTTGCCAACTGAGAATATAAAAAGAAACTTTAACAAGCTCAACACTACCTCCTGCTGGCCTGGTTACAAAGGGACTCCCTAGGATAACTGCTGCCAAAGAATTTTGTCTTTGAATATTGACTGTGTAATGAGCAGTTTGGTTCTCATTAGATTCAGGCACAAAGTAGAAACTCAAGTAATTGATTTTACCTTTACTAGTGTCTGGTCATTACCCAGACATAGAACTGGAGAATCAACTTGTCAAGAATCTCAGCTGGAGGAGTAGCTCTGCCTGCAGGTAGTACTGTGTACTTTCTGCAGCACCACATGATGCCCAAGAAAGGGAGGAGCAAGGACTAAGTTGGATAGCATCACACTAAACACTGAGGTGCTTAGTGGTTAAAAAAAAGAAGCCTGAATTTGATGTGAGAGGAAGCCAGTGGAGGAATTAATGTAGCCATATAACGAACAAACTGGGAGGTAATTTCACCAGCAGCATCTTAAATAGAATTGAATGGAGCAAGACTGTAATGCCAGAAAAAAAGTTCAAGTGGGGTCCTCTGAGGTGTTCCCACAAGCTGGTTCAGTGGAAGATGGCTTATGCCCAACATTTTAAGGTTTCAGGGGATCCTTTGCTATACAGAGGATGTAGTAGCCAGACTTCTCGGAAACAATTTTGGGAAAATCACTGAGGAGCCCACTTGGAAGTATTAATCCTTGGGACTCTGACTATGTGTACATTGTCAAGTTATTTGGTGCAGTTGGAGTGGATCAGTAGATAAAAGAAGTTACTGCTGAGACTCATACGCCTGGCCTGTATGCAGCTTCTGACTACATTAGTCTGATTCCCTGGATATATGTCACAGAATCACAGAATCACAGAACGGTTGAGGTTGGAAGGGACCCCTGGAGATCATCTAGTCCAACCCCCTGCTCAAGCAGGGTCACCTAGAGCACATTGCCCAGGATCACATCCAGATGGGTTTTGAATATCTCCAGCAAAGGAGACTCCACTACCTCTCTGGGAAGGTAGACATGTCCCCACTGCACATGTGGTTTGAAGCAGGCCAAGTAATTGGTTCAGACTCTTAATGTCTCTATTAGAGGATGGAGTGCATTTGGCATGCATCTGAGCCTCCAGTGCATGCATCTGAGCCTCCAAATGAAACTTAATCCTTGTGCACCAAAACCACTTTGCAAACTGAACCAATGTTCAATAAGTGAGGATGATTGGGGAGTTGACTTCAAAACAGCACTACTGCCTCAAACCAATATGCTAATGGAGGCCAGGCCTTCCACTCTT